GAGGAGTACTCTCTCTCTCTCTCTCTCTCTCTCCGTCGCTCTTTTGTCTCCAACGCGGTCGAAGGGTGCGCGTTGTCTTCGGTTGGTGCAAGCTCGAACCGCGTGGGGGCGTGTCGCCTCGATGGCGCCGGCTGCTAATGGCTACGCGGCCCGCCAGACTTTAATTTCCTGCCGCTTCCGCGGACCCTTTGCCTTCACCTTTCCGAATCCGCTCCGGACCCTTCAGCCTCCTCTCCTTTCGGTAGCCGCCGTCTCTCTTCCTACTCGCGACCGATGATGGCCAAGGTCGTTTGCATTCCGACCGGCCGTGCGCACGGGAAAACTCACGGGAGACGCGTTTCACAAATTGGATCAGGTACTGTACGTGTATCAGCGGTTATACCAGGCCCTTAACCAATCTCTTTCTCTCCCCTTCTTTTTTTTTTTTTTTCTTTTTTTTTCCCCCGTCTCTCCTAGGATAGGAGCGGCAATTTAGTGTCATTATACACCCTTGGGCAAGCGGTTTCTTTTTTTGGAGGGGGAGGGGGAGGGGGAGGGGGAGGGAAGCCGATTTTGAGCCGCGATTACGGACAACGGATTTCGAGGATATTACGAGGCCCGTTGAGTTACCGTTGAGAAAGCGTCTCAATTCGGCGGAGCGATTTTCGAGAGGGGCCCGGGATCGGTATATATACTCGCCTAATTCGCGAACCCAGCCGAATTACCTCGTTATTATCGGGCTTGCGTAATCGTATCGAGGAAGAGCCGAAGGAAGACCCTTCATTCCCTTCCTCTTCTTCTGTAGTAATAGTAGTAGTAGTAGTAGTAGTAGTAGTAACACCTGCTCTCTGGATAGTTATCGCGGCGCGTATATATATCGCGTATAAAATCGATCGATCGAAGAATCCCTCCTCCTCTCTCTCTCTCTCTCTTCGTCTCCCGAACCCATCTCGTATCCCGCAGTATCGTAATGCACCGCCTCGTTGTTTCTCGTTCCAGGATCACCCGGGTCTACGGGGTACACCGTTGGCCATGCTCGCCGCCCAGTGCAACAAATTGAGCAGCAAGAGCCCGCCACCGTTGGCTGACGCGGCGGTGGGCAAAGGGTTCCACCCGTGGAAGAAGAGCCCGCAGAGCAGCGGCAGCTCGCCCCAACACTCGGCCGGGAGCGGCGGAGGAGGAGGGGGAGGGGGCGGTGGAGGAGGAGGTGGAGGAGGAGGTGGATGCATGACGACGGGAGTGAGTCAGAGACCGGCGGCGACGAGCAGCGCCGGGAGCACGAGCGGTGGCTACGCGAGAGCGCCGGTCACGTCGTGCGCTTCGACCGCGCCCCAATACGGCGGCGACCTGTACTTCCCGGGGACGGCGAGCGCCCAACCGGCCGGCGATCCTCACCATCATCAGAGCAGCCTGCTCGGTAAGGTGGAGGGAGCGACGTTGGGCTCGGTGTACGGCCGGCACCCGTACGAGTCGTGGCCGTTCAACGCGATGCCAGGCGCGGCTCACGGCGGGATTAAAGCGAGCGACGGTTGGTGGGACGTGCACGGGGCCGCGACCGCCGGCGGGTGGCTCGACGTCGGCGGAACGGTCGGCGTCGGGGTGCACGCCGCCCAAATGGCCAACTACTCGGCCGACTACTCGACCAGCCTTGCACTGGCCGGCAATCACTTGCTGACCACCGCGACCACCGCCGGCCACAATCTCCTCCAAGACACGTACAAATCGATGTTGCCGGGGGGCCCGCCCGGGTTCGGGCTCCACCATCACGCGGCCGCGACGGCGAGCGCGAGCGCCGGTGCCGGGAGCCCCCAGGGGAGCGGCGGTGGCGTGGGCGTGGGGGCGGGCGGCGTCAGCCAGGCGCCCTCGCCCCGCTCCCAAAGACGGTACACAGGGCGCGCGACTTGCGACTGTCCCAATTGCCAAGAAGCCGAGAGGCTCGGACCGGCGGGCGTGCACCTGAGGAAGAAGAACATCCACAGCTGCCACATACCCGGCTGCGGTAAGGTCTACGGGAAAACGTCGCATCTGAAGGCCCACTTACGGTGGCACACTGGTGAGCGACCGTTTGTTTGCAACTGGCTTTTCTGTGGCAAGCGGTTCACACGTTCGGATGAGTTGCAGCGGCACCTTCGAACCCACACCGGCGAAAAGAGATTCGCCTGCCCGGTCTGCAACAAGCGGTTCATGCGCAGCGACCATCTCGCGAAGCACGTCAAGACCCACAGCAGCAGCAGCAGCAGCAGCGGCAGCAAGGGCAAGGGGGGAGCGGGGAGCTCGTCGGCCGAGTCCTGCTCCGACAGCGAGGACAACGGGAGTCAGCAGAGTCCCACTTCCAGCTCGGTTCCGCCGCAGCCGCAGCCGCCGTCGTCGCAGCCGCAGCCGTCCCAGCAACAACAACAGGCCAACAACAACCGGCTCAGCAGCAGCAGCAGCAGCAACAGCAGCAGCAGCAGGCTCTGGTGGCAGCGGCGGCGGCGGCGGCGGCGGCGGCAGCGGCAGCGGCGGTAGCGGCGGGCCAGGACACCACCACCAACAACACCACGTCCCAGACCACCACCACCACCACCCCACTCGGCCATCAACC